TTGGAGACAGAAGTTTTTAAATGGTTACTCAAATAATGGAAGATAAAAACCTTTATATCAATAGCATTAGCTCCTAAATATTTGAGCGTTCGAATAAAAGCTGATTACAAATAATAAATGCTGTTTTCGTGAAACAACATACAATCAAAGAAGAGTTTCTTACAGACTGCTTTACTAAGGCTGGAAATTTTCATGCCAGAAGAAAGGAAGGGAGGGAAAATATTTCAAAACAAAGCTGAAATGAGATTACAATATTTTACAAGATATTTTCATTTCCATCGAGTTTGGGGAGAAACGTATTATTAAATCTCTCTCGGAATGTTAAGGAAGAAAAATATGTTTTTTAACTTAAGGTATATTTTTTTTTTCTTATTTATACAGTTGTTCTGTTTAAAAAGACTTTCATTACTGGTTTGGATTGGATCATTAAATTGCGGTAAAGTAAGCGACAGGTGTATAATTGTTGTAAGGAACTCCTTCGTGGAGGACATTTAAGGCTTTTTTTTCTCGATACAAATAGTCAAATCTGTGAAATTTCCCACACAGCCAGCCTGTTCCGCGAGATTTGAGCTGTACCGAACTGTCTGTATTATCGCTGAAAAAAAAAGCATTACATTAGTTATGATAAATTGATTCATTTACTACAAATAAAATTTTATAAATATGTAAAATATAAGGGATTATATGTCATTATGATCTGAAGGAAAAATTGCCATTCCATTAAGCAAAATAAAAGCATTTGCGCCATTTTGTCTAATATTGAATGGTACTAAATTATTTTTGTTTATAACTCAAGAGCTTAAAAGTAATTTAATTTTAATTTTGATGCAACTTTGCATACCATATGAAAAAGAAAATATCCATTTATATTAGCGTTATTATACAATAAGAGCGAATATTTCGGCATCTAATGGCTTCCGCGTGTTTGAGCATCAATATCAATAATATTCGTATAGTAAATCAGAACTACTAACACTTCTGCAGCAATATTCGGAAAGTTGCTCCGCGGCAATTTAAAGTTTCATATTCGTCTTCTGCTTAAAGCCAGTTTTCTATAACTATTTATTTTATTCTTTCTTTATTTATATTTTTTAATCTTGATAAAGATGTTGATAAGGGAGTAACACGGAAACATATGGCTAAAATTTCACCAGAATTTGGATAATAATAATTTAACTTATCAACACATCAAAGAGGAATTCAAAATTTTAAATATAATACAGGAATACGTTTTAGCAAAATTTATTAAACTGTGGTTGCAGCTTTAAGGTTTTTTTTAATTTATTCGACGTAAAATTTGCAATTTCGATTTGTTTATAAAAATAAACAGCACGAAACTCTTGACATAAGATGTGGTCAAATATCATGAAGCAAAATTTTACTGAAAGAAATGAAAATATTGATGATCCAATGAGTACCATTATGAATGATTGAAAACAGTTTAAAATGCTCATTTGAACAATACACAGGTAAAATGTTTAGAAAATGGAGTTATTGAATAGCTTGCAAATGATGAAAATGAACAAACTGTGGCAGAAGTAAAAATTCGCACTTAACAGAAGTGACAAGAAATATTCAACAAAATATGAGTTGGTGTAATACCGAGGAAGCTTTAAGTGTATTTGTGAAACCGGAGAAAAACCTAAAGATAGAACTTTGGAGAAATAATGATTATTCATATTCTAAGGAATGATTTATTCAGAAAGAGTGGCATTTTTGAAGTAAACGAGCATTCAAACTTCATTTGATAAGACTTCATACGCTGTTATTATTGTTGATTTGAAAGCAAAAATTTATTACATGTAATTAAATTACACAGGGTGTTTCATAGATCATGGTGCAAACTTGGAGGGGTGGTGGAGCATACTAAAACATGCATTTTTTTATAGGAATATAGGTTCTAAAGTGACAGGTTAAGGCAGGAACGAAAAAAAAAAAAAAAGACACAAAAGGAAAGTGTGTTTATGTACAAAATCAACACAAAGTGTTTCTTTGTAGCAATACAGTATTTACAATAAATGTTCAAAATTGCGACCACCGGCAGTAATAATGTCGTAACGTCGCAGAAAGGTTTGATGAACATTTTGAAAAAGGACAGGCATTTCGGGCACGCTTGCAGCCGTAATAGATAGTCGTGCAACGAGGTCCTCCAGTGAATCAACGGAAGTCTCGTAAATGATCCTCTTCAGATGACCCCCATAAAAAATCAAGCTGGATAAAGCTGGCGAACGGAGTGGCCATCGAACGGCTCCACCACGGCCAATGCATCGGGCCGGAATGTGGAATGTGGACGTGTGCCGTGTGGATTATGAGTTGCCCACACATGTGGCTATTGAAGATGCCGTCCTGTGAGAAAGTTGCCTCATCCGTGAATAGCACATCTGATCGGAAATCCGCCTGCGTCGCACACTGGCACCATGCAAGAACCAGAGGAAGACTGTTTTGAAGAGGGATCTCATCTTGCAAGGGTATGGGTTGCAAATTTTCATGCAATACTTCCATGCAAACCGCGCGAAACTACTCAACTGCAGACGACGTGCAATAGCTCTTGTACTTGTCAGAGGTGATTCTTCCACAATGAGAAGATGAATGCGAGTTTGTGTGCACTCTTCTTTCCTTTTCAGTCATTGCAATAGTGTCAGAGATGGCTTCAATTGACCCGTTTTCACACAGAGATCGATGCAACCTCTCGAACAATGTGTCCTTCGGCATGCGCCTGTTCGAAATGGTACAACCGTAGCGCTGCTCTGCCGTTCCCATTAGCAGCACTATACATGAGGCGCATGTAAGCTTTTCCCCCTGTATGTAAATTCACCCATAACACTCGACATCAGAGATGCGAATGATCCTCTGATGTATCGGATCGTGGTTTGTCCGGCTCACTACCGCCCTCTACCGCTGCATTGCCAGCCAGCTGTAGTTCCTATTATTGTTAGTGTTTCCTTTTTGAAGCATTTTGTGAAACTGTATTGCTGCAAAGAAGGCACCTTTGCGTTATTTATACATAAACACATTTTTCTCTCGTGTCGTTTTTTTTTCCCGTTCCTGCCTTAATCCGTCACTTTAGATTCTACATTCCTATTCAAAAAATGCATGTTTTAGTACGATCCACCACCCCTCCAAGTTTGTCTCATGATCTATGAAACACCCTGTAGATAATTTTACTCACTGATTTTTTTTTTTTTCATTGCAGAAATGCATTATTAAGTTTGTTTTCTTCTCAGTACCTTCCACAAGCAAAAAAAAAAATTCTTTGAGGTTTAATGAAATTTTATTCCTATAATTCGGCATCCTTAAAGCCCTAAATATAACGTTATCGGAATTGTGTTGTAATTTCGTCTTTTAAAATGTAGTTTATATCATAAAAGAAATATACTATATTATAAAAGAAAATACTAAAGTATTCTAAGGAATTTTAAAACTTGTATTTATGTGAAAATGTAGATAAAATTTATATAATTTAAATTAATGTAATGAAACCTCAAGTAGTTTATTGCAAACTGTGATTCTGTAGGGCCTTTCAATGTTTCCAATATTTGTCTAACAGCTTACGAGTAGGAGTGCTGTTAAAGCTATGAACAAATATTTTGGCAGTTTCTTTCAAAAGGTTTCTACAGATTATGATGGCAATCCATAATCAGCGCGAGCAACATTTCTTATTGATTAACAGCTCTAGCTTTCCTTAAGACGCAGGTTGCTTGGAAATCATAAATAACTGTCAACAGCCTGCACTTCTGAGCCCATAAGTTGAAAAATGCTTTCACGAAGCAAAGACCCGAAACATTGGAACGCATTCTGCAAAATTAATGTGTTATCTGTAATTTTGGTAAGTGTGCAGCAATTTTTGAAAGGTTTGAAATTTGAAATTTAGGGTTATTAAAATGTGCGTGTAGAAATAGATTTTGAATCAGTTGGCATCGTAAAATTTATGTAAAAAGAGAAAGACGGTAAGTTGACCCCACCAGAAGAATAAAATCTTTGTACATTTTATGAATATTTGGTGTGATGTACATAAATTTACTCCATCGCAAGTGAGTAGCTGCAATGGAAGTGTCTAAAGTTCATACATTGTAACATTATTCAGGGAAACCTTATTTAGATAATATTAAGCCTACTTTAGCATATATTTAAAGACAATTTCGTAGTCTCTGTGTTATTATTGAGCAAATGTACAAGTATAAACCTTAAAATTTTAATACGTATTTTATTATCTTTCGAAGTTTTTTTAAGCTTTTCTTTTCTTTCCCCCTATGAGAATATTTTTGTTTGGAAAATATCCATTTATTGTACGAAGTGGCAAACGAGAGACCTAAAAGTAGGCACAATATGTATAAGCTAGCTTAAAATTCATACGGACGGAAAAAATAAATTCCTCTTTATCAACCAAAGAAATTTCGGAAATCTCTCTATTTCTCCAATAAAATATTGAAAGAAAGTCCCTTTGGTTACATATTGCTAATTTATATCCAACAGTTTATTTTGACATAAATATTATGATACATTGAATGCGTAATTGTAATGCAAATGTGACAAAATGTCAACAAAATTATTATTAAGTATTGGTTATGCTACTAATGAACTATTTATTTTAGAAATGTGCTCCAATTAATTACGATAATAAATGTGAAGCTGATTGATACCCTTGATTTCAACAGTTGCATCAATTACTTAGTTGTCAGGGTAATACATTACAAGGGATAAATGAAGTATAAGTTGCCACTTGCAAAGTTTAAAATTGCTAGACATCTCGGTTTTCAAAATTTTTATCCTCTAATTCATTCCAGTTGTAACATTTTGTATTCTAATGTAGTTCTATATGATGATCACGCGATTTCTCCCATGCAAAATCCTAGGCCTTGTGTCAAATGATTTAAGAATCGATAGTTTTATATATGGTTTATGTATTTTTATCATATATATTTATGTCTAGTTACGCATTTAACATACATTAAGGTTCTTTATTATGTTAATTAATGTTTTGATGGATCTTTTTTATGTAGGAAAAGACCCCCAATGTCCCGTTCTTCAGCAAATGAAAACATTTTGATAAGTCACATACATCGGATTTCAGGAAGTGCCTTAATAATACTAGGTGAGCTAATATTAGTTACATACCCGTGTTAGCTTTGAAAATACATAGCATAATCATAGGATATTACACTTTAAACACATCTGAATATTATATACTTTAATGTATACATACTACACTTTTAATAAAGAACTTGAAGTTTTCGAAACATTTCAATATTAATTTTTCATGAATTGTAAGTAACACAACAAAATTGAGACAATGTGCATTTTTGTTGTAATATAAAACAACACTACAAAAGGGTTGAAACTTTTACAATAAGTGATGCTAGTTTTCCTTTATCTTTTAATTTTGTTATGATTTACAAAATAAATATGTAGGTAATAAGTGAGCTACTAGAGACTAAAATTATCGTATCAAAGATAACTTTTTAAATAAGGTTTAAGAATATAGCTTCTGTGGTATTTGTTTTATTTTAAATACTACTTAGGTGAGCTATGTTGTTAAAGTTCTATTTATTAAACAGTTACAATTCAACAAAAGGGAACGACTGCCTGTAATCCCCCAGTAATGTATTTTATGATAAGCTAAGAATAAAATAATAGTTAGCATAGCTGGAAGGAGTAAAATGTTACTTGTAATAATCACCAACTCCGAGAATCCTTTAACGATGTTTATACGCATTTCCTCAAATGGTCATTGAAGTGATTACGGTGGTGATAACCCTTCATAATTGCCTGAAGTTCCGGAAAACGATGGGGAGTGTTTCAAGAGGTAGTTCTGACAAAACATTGCCAAATAAATCCCAGTGTTCATTTACCGAGTGTTACATAGACATCTGTTCTTGTAGTGGCAATAAACAACAGAAGCTAGTGTTTTCTTTCTGTATCTTCAAGAATCAGAAGAAATAATCTTTGATATTTTTTCTATGAGTGGCATCTGGCATATTGAATGCATATTCACTTGCTTACAACTTCTTAGTAGCATAATCCCTGCCTGGCGGTTAGACAATTTAACATATAGCAGTTTTTTTTTTAACTTTTCGATTTGGTAATTTACACTATCGTACTAAAAATAGGTATTAATAGCAGCCAGTATTAAATTATTTTACAGGTCTCATCAAAAGATAATGTTTTTCAAATAGATTTCAATATTTCAGTTTCTGTTATAGGAGCCTAGAGTTCCGAAAAATTTCGTATTTAGAAATGAGTTAAAAATAAAGGGAATACTCTTTTTGTACATATGGTTTTTACAGATAATGTCTGATAATAACCAACTACGTGAAATTTCACGTCAGTTTTTTACATAGTACAGTATGAAATAAAACATTATTTCGCTTGTATATACATGTCTAGTACTGCAATTATCTGTATCGCGATTAATAAACTCACGATTAATATCAGTAATTTGTAGAAAAGAGTTTTCGTCAAAAGAATGATTTGGGGATCACATTAGCAAAACAAAATAATGTAGGTTCTTTTGATGCAGTCCAAATTGTTTACATAAAGTTTTCTTTAAGTCTAATGCCTCAACATGAAATAAAATTGAATCTCTCAAATAAAATAAGAAGAAATTATGCATCATTTCTGGACTTTAAAGTCTACAAGTAATGATTAACCTGTTTTCAGCAATAAATAACAACAGCTATTCTGGAATTTTTAATTTTTCATATAAAATGTGAAACAGATTGTAAAAGAATACAAATTTTTGAATTTAATTTCTTTCAAATAAATAAAATTTTAGAGATTTTTTTTGTATGTGTTGTGAGATAATTCTGCAGCAGGCTTAATTAACGAACATAGACAATTCATTTAAAAGAATCAATTTGTATTTTAATACCGTTTGCTTTTTTAATAATTAATATACTAATTTTTAAGCATTTTAGATACAGTGCCAAAAATTAAATTCAGAAGTAGTGAAAAGCAAACTTCCATTAGGCACATCTGCCAAATTAACAACTCAACTTTTAAGAGAAGTCAATGTTTGGAGCAGAGAATCTCTTTACGCATTAGTATCTTTCTTTGAATATCGAGAGAATTTTTTACCTTTGAAAAACTCATAATCCTCTGAACAAATAATACAGTTGCATTTAAAAGATATTTTAATTAATCGTGTTCCATAATTTATAATACCACATATGATAATTTTTTTGAATACGGCTAGGCACATTTAACTCTTTCTAGTAGAGCCCAGAAAATTTATGTTTAATTTCAGTATGAGTAGATATAATTAGAAACTTGTACTCGTGCTCGTAATAAACTACAATGTAAAAGTATTTAAGCAGTATTTGATTGTAAAATTTGCGACAATTTTAAAAAAGTCAAATACAAGGTATATAGTAGCTTGCCAATTTTTTTTTCACTTAATGATGTAAGTCATTACTCCACGAAACAGTTAACATTAGAACCGGTTTACCTATAACCGCGGGCTGGGTGAAATTCACCCCAATTAATAATAATCTGTGTTGTTATACTAAAAATATGCTGTAATTATTTGGCAATGACATTTATTTATTTTTTAAATTAAATTGTTATAATAAGTAATAAAAATAAGATATTTCAATATGGAATATTGTATATAGTTAGTAAAATAGACACACAACTTTATCAGAAATATTTAGTTTCTTACCAGTCAAGATTTCCTACACAGTTTATGCATATTTTGGGCAACTTCTTTTTATATATTTTGTACACTTTACACATATCGGCATTTTACAGTCAGAACAAGTATCTACAGTTTTGTTTCTACATTTGAAAGCTTGGACAATGAACCCTTTTTCACATATGCGCAGCTCTTCAATAGTATCCGCTTTTTCTGTGTATCTGACTTGTACTTTCTTTCGTGAATATACTCACTATGCAACTCTTCAATGAGTTGTTGAAGATAATCTTTCCTCGTAAGTTTTTTTTCCAGTAACTTCTTTGTATAAAATCCATGAATTAATTCCTGCAAGGTGAAGAATTTTGTAGAATACATGAACTGGCCACCTCCTTGATCCTGCCTTCACAGAATGTTTCCGAGCCATTTGGTCGGCAATGTCGACACCAAATTTTTTTGAGTTATAAAATGATATTGTTTCTGTAAGCGTTTGGGGTGATTATTGTCAATATCCACTGTGGCATGAAGGAACTCAATAATAAGACATTTTTGCTGTTTTTTCTCTGATAAACTGTCAAATTTATATCATCATGCTCCAGTAACAAATGTATCTTATAACGGCATCTTTACTTTTCCCACAAATTCAGGCACTTCTTTCCGATTTCGTTTCTTCGTTCCAGTTAAACTAGTTTTCTTCGTTTTTAACATTTGGGACAGAGTTAGTGCAGTAAAAATATTATCTGTAGTGATATTTCTTCCTTTATTTTCGAAAGGTTCTCTCAAACGCAAAACGACATATTCGGAGAGAGATAGGTTTTTCAGGACGTTCCTCATCTTTGCCCAAATATGGAAAACAATTGAGCACGTACTTACTATCAGCATCAGCAGCAAGCCAGAACTTGATACCAAATTTATCTAGTTTACTTGGCATATATTGCGTGAAACGACATCTGGCTTTAGACGGAAACAGCTGTTAATCAATAGTTATATATGGTCTTGGTTTATAGCAAGTTATCGAATTTTCAATAAATTTATTCCAAACTTCAGAAATAAAACATAATTTATCTGTTTGAAGGCGTTCAGATTGTGTAGATTTTTGTCGAATCGCAGAAATTTCAGAAGTTCTCTGAATCTATCTCTCGCCATAGTATCGCGGAAAAAAGGTGAACCCCAAACATCAGACCACAGACTATTAAGCTCTAAATTATTTGAACTGTATATACCTCGAGCATACAAAAATTGATATAAAAGCATCTAGTTCGTCTAAAGTTGTTGAACATTCATTTTTTCCAGTTGCCGGTGAGCATCTTCCTCCGTAAAATTTTTTATATGACATAGGCTCATCTATAAGTAGCCTCCATGAACTAATTGCATTGCCATTTTCAATATTTCGTTTTGCATAACTGGTTGGGCCACTCTTTTCTTTGAAAATATTATGTTCAGCAATTCTTCCACGCATACAACTTCCAGAGAGAGGTCATGCTTTCCCAAAACGTTCCATCATTTGTAACAAAAGTTCCAGAGTTCATTTTCATCTGGATTTGAATCTGATAACTTTTTACGTTTATTTACACATTGTATTTTCTTCCCATTAGTAGTTTTTTTGCTAGTACATTGTACTGGAAATTTAGATTACGTATCTTCATCTGAGGAAATATTTTCGTCATCTGCAGGCACATATTCATCATCGCTGAAAACAGTTTCTTCAACATTATCGTTTTCGGATTCATTTTCCGATCATTGTCGCATATATTCGAGGGCTTCACTAACTGTAAATTTGCGCATATTTTTTCCAGCCATTTTCACCTAAGATCAATTTTATCTCCGCGTGTAAGCAAGGTGGCAAAACTCTAACAAACTGGTACACTCAAACTATCTCCAAGGCACCGCATGGACTATGGTAGTATTGCACCACATTCCACTCAATAGGCCAAAACAAAAAGCATCTGTTATATGATAAGCCTGTGATATGATATATTCTTTACACTCATTATTTTGTATTAAATTCTACTCATCAGCTTTGAAAATAATTGAACAAATGTGAAAATTCTCTGGTTCTGATATCAGTGCATTTAAGCATTAACGTACGCAAAATTTTCGAATCAAGATAAGAAGCGATATTATATTTCGTATCTTAAATTTATACAGTGCAAATCTCTATCTGCCTCATATCTAAATATTTCCTCTCATAAGCATTAACTCAAGGGAATTAAGGTAATGTTCAATTAAAATTTTGTTACAGCTATAGTTAATATAATCTCTATTAAAATATTAATAAACCAATAATGAACGTAAGTTATACCAATAAACGTTAAAATCCCAAAAATGCACTTAGGTAATTCACAATACATTAATAGGATAACCCCTTAGATATATGAAAGAGGACCAAAGAAATATTAAATAAGATGGCTGGCATTTTCAGCCAATCTAAGAAAATTCTATTTATTATGTAATTCTGAGAGGGT